CACGTCTCAGATCCGTATACCATCACTGGCAACACGCATTGGTCAAATACTTTCGACTTGAGACACTGCGGTATTTCGGACGTGAGTATATGGCGAAGCTTCCCGAACGCTGCCTATCCGAGTTGGATCTTCAGCTTGCTAATCTGGAAAAAACTGGAATAAAGTGATGAAATATGTCTTTGTCCACTCACCCTGCAAGATGGCCAGCAGGATAACAATAATGAAGAAGAAGAAGGATATGTCAAAGATGATGCGGTAGACTTCCGAGTCGTCTCCGTCCGGCGGCTCGAGCTCGTCGCCGATGCCGCCGCCGGCGCGGACACCTTTGTATAAGTTGAACACGAAGCACTGAAAGTCAAAGTCAGTTTAATAATAAAACATTTATTCGCTGCAATAGGCTTTTCGCCCAAATTTCAATAATTAGTTAATATATCTTGATGCCTATTTTATACAAATGCGCTCTTATTTTGGAAAAAAATCTCATCTCCAAGGATTATTTTGCATTTTCAATAATATTTGACATATAGCCCTCAAAAACGCTCACGACCGTCATGGCGTCTTGAATGACGTCACGCCTTGCAAAACACAGCTGTTTTAGTACGGAAATTGTAAAGTTAAATTATTACAAATCATTAATTATACGACTATCTTAATACACTCGACGTCAAATAAATCGCACCTCCCGCGAAAAGCATTCTCACACGTATGCATCCCCACTTCCCACCAATATTGGTACCATTTAAAAGCCTAGTTCTAACCTTCATTTTATTAAACGAAAGGTTTTTACCCCAAAAATTTGTCTCTAGAAGGATCCAGAGTCACTTCAGGATTCTTCAAAAAATAGGTAGTTACGCTAGAGCCAACTTTTATGGCTATAAAACTGTTAAGTTGGGTTTAATTGCTATCCATCTGTTAAAGAGGACACTTGAGATCATTATTTGGTTTTATAACCATAAAAAATGGTCTACTTGATCCCATAGGTGGGCCCAAAGTGAGGTATTTTTTCAAGTCACATTTATGGTATATGTTAATCATTTATTAAGAAATTAAATGTGTTTTTCTTTAAGGATATTTATTGGGCTTTCAAATAACACCAATATTGTTGGGGCACCATGATTGTGTCAGAAGAAAATCGTTAAAGTTCGCGTCGCGGAAGGTGCGGTTTATTTGATGTTGAGTATAGTTATACAATCTTATACTGCAGATTTATTCACTGTGGATACAAGCCTATTTTAGGGTTACAAATTAGGGGTGGACTTCCTCTATTAAGTACATAAGCACCTATGTCAGAGGAAGCCACTCTTCCATAGCATAGCATTGTAAATAACCTTAATAGAGTGCAGTAAACATTTTAAACCAAAAGAAAACGAAAATGAAAGTTAAAGTTAAACATCGAGACTATGTAAAACTTAGTTTAAGTCGACAGTAGCCCAACGGTTAAGTTTAACAAGTTGTATGATTTTCAGTCGAATTTAAGTACTTACATACCACTTTACCTATGCTTTGCCAAATAAAGATTTTGTACATATTTGAAAAGCGCGCGATTGCTTTTTGCGGAAGACGATTGATTCACAGTATTTTTACATAAAGAAATACGCCACGATTGATTTTACATAAAGAAATACGCCTACGCCGCTGCGTCAAACGTATTAAAATCAATCCGCGCTAATTTATTTGTATTAATCCTTCAAAGCCCGCGAATCTAGACACAATAGATAATCAATTGTTATGACATTAATGAATGCCGTCTGGGACTCAAGCGGTTAATATTAATTAATTAATATAGTGCACATCATCGCAATAATGTTTTTGCAGCGTATGCCGCACACGAAATATTGATTATATCTATTCAGTTTTAAACGTTAGATATTATTTTCTCTTTCTGTAGACTATGGGGTACTTTTTATGTGTACGTTATACGATACAGTTTATAAAGGATCTATGTTAATGGGCAAAAAGTAGTCCCTCGTCTGCGACCATAATCTAGACTTACCGTGAGCATGTCATGGCAGTTCTTGTTGACCTCGTCATCTTCCTCTTGAACGTAGAACTTGCGGAAGAAGTTGAAGGCGATCACCGTGTAGATGTATACTATGATCGTCAGCAGCATCACCGTCAGTACCAGCTGGAGAAGAAGAAGGTAGTAGTTTGTTACGATGAGAAGTTACGTCGGTTCTGGTACACTTGCGCGAAACACATTTTAAGTAAGTGCCAATGCGCGTAAATGTGCTTCGCGCTAGTGTCTTACGCGCAAGTCTTTTGCGCTTATGTCTTTTCGCGTTAACGTCAATGAGGGCTATCGTTTTTATACTTAACAGTTGGCACCCCTGGCGATTGACAGGACCTTACTCTACAGTGGCGCCATCTTGATGAGTGCAAATGCGATAGTCCTCCTACCACTTTAGCGCTCACCAGTTGGTGCCACTGTCTTCGCTACTAGCAAGTGACAGGACCTTACTCTACAGTGGCGCTAACTGGTGAGTGCTAAAACGATAGCCCTCATTCACGCTAGTGTGTTTTCGCGCAAGTGTCCATTCGCGCAAATAGCTTTTCGCGCTTCGTCCCGATACAAAGTATGTCACGAAATGAGAGTTAATGGTGATCAACACAAGTAAAGATTTGTATAGTCCGAAGACTGACATGCTGAGCCAAGGACGTTTTTGGCACAGGACATTCAAAACTAGTTTTAATTATGTTAGGTTTTTTTTGTTCATTTATATTTTTTTTTATTGTGTGCCAAATTTAACTAGCGACCCGTCCCTGCTTCGCACAGGTACAATGTATACTTAAAAACCTTCCTCTTGAATCACTCTATCTATTAAAAAAACGGCATCAAAATCCATTGCGTAGTTTTAAAGATCTAAGCATACATAGGGACAGACAGCGGAAAGCGACTTTGTTATACACCGTGAAATTTTAGTGGTTGTTTTTCCGCAGTAAAATGATGCTATCTTACTAGTACAATAGATTAAGGAAGTTTTTTTTATTCAAATAAAAAATTGGCCTGTACGGAGCTTGTGCGAGAGCTTCTTTTACTTTAAATATTGATTTCGTGGGGCAGGCAGTATCCAAATACGTCACATTTTGTAAAAAAGACTATTGTTTCTTACGCTTTCGAGTTGATCATATTTTTTTGATCAGTTGAGAACATTTTTTTTCATAAATAACTCTCACGATTATATAGTGCCCGGGAAAATAAGCACTAATACATATTTCACGGTGTATACTATGTAGTGATAGCGATAATCCCATACCTGTTTCCCGTTATGCGTGACAGACTGCAAGATGGTCCTCAGGGTCTTGAACCCTACCGCCACGTCCAGCAGATGGGCAGCAAAGAAGAAGTTGTTGAAGTTGCCCATCACGGAGAAGGAGAAGTACCATAGAGAATACAGGAACGAATTGTCGGTGATCGTCACGCCGGCCTTCCACACTTGGTAGCGCCAGTCGATGTTCATTATGCTGGAAATGTCATAGAAGTTATTTATTCTCTGCCTTTCAGTTTAATCCGTTGCTATAACCCTACCTCTATATTTTTAAACTTTCATGGTCACTAACATAATTATAATTACTGACGGGATTGTTACCATGTACCTTAATTTTGAGTTTCCGATATATCGGCACTGTTGCAAGCGCCATGGTCACGGATTCAGCCGAAAGACGTTCACTGCTGGACTAAGGCCTCCCCCAAGGATTTCCACAAAGACCGGTCCCGCGATATTCACCAGATCGTCGGTCCACCTTGTGGGAGGCCTGCCCACGGTACGTCTTCCGGCTCGTGGTCGCCACTCAAGAACTTTCCTGTACCAGCGGCCATCAGCTCTATGAGCTATGTGCCCCGCCCACTGCCACTTGATTTTAGCGATTCTGCGGGCTATGTCAGTCACTCTGGTACTACTTAAGGGAGAGTATTCAACCAGTCACTATTGTCAGCTTCTTTTGCAAAATTTTACTGGTTTGAGCTTGGCAGCATAAGTTTTTAAACGTTATTGGTATAAGACCGTCTGCTCGTTTGCCACTTGTTCCAAAAAAGGCTGACCTGACATGATGTTGTCGCCAAACTTAAGTTATAATGCAAGGGACAAAAAGCTCGTTTAACTGATGGCTGTTTCGGCAGAAAAGTTCTCCGTACACGTAGTGTAGGCAGGCCACCCACTCGGTGGACCGACGATCTGATGAATGTCTAAATCCTTGGGGAATCCCACTTTTATCTAGCAGTGGGCGTCTTTCATTTGAAAAGTAAAACGGGACTTATCCCACCACTGCAACTCCTGTGTAGCCAGGATCTACAGCTTGGCTTCCAATGAAACCCGACCAGTGAAGGTCAAGTTTGTCCCGGGGGAAAGTTAAACTGTCATTGGACCCGCAACGAAATTAATCAGAAGAATATAGGAGAAGTTCTAATACACTATCGAAAAAGGTTTAAAAGTAAATTAAAATATCAGTAAATACACTCACTAGTGGATCAAGCCCTTGCTGCCTTCTTCCTCCTGGGCAGAGAAAGATGTCTTCTCCATTCCAAGCATGTTGGAGATGGAATCAAAGTCGTAAGTCTCTGAGTACTTGGCTCGAACTTTCTTCTTCACGAATTTGTCCCAGTAGTTTACAGGGAAAGATCTGGTGAAGAAAATTAATATAATAAGTATTTAAGTATACAGTGCGATATTACATTATCTGAAGAACTTTAGCCCATTCTAGCACATATTGTCAGTTATTTTAACAATGATATTATGAATGAAAGACGATATCTCAGTCTTAACTCAGTTTTAAATCCACAATTTTTTATTATTATTACACATTTATATTCGGCTGTACACTTTAATAAATATTAAGCTTCATTTTCCCGCCAAAAAATCCTTTCAAGGTTTCAAATTATTTGTCATTTTGACAGGTGCACTCTTCTTCTTTTTTTGATGATGTTGGCAATACACGTCGAGGTCGACTTGATTTGTGCCATTTTCAAGTATTTATGTGATACGAGTTACAAAATGAGATCAAGTAATGATATAATGAAGGATGATAGATGATACCCCGTCCCACCCCTTGAGTGTCAGTAAAGTTGTGGTGCTTTACTGAGACCTCCTATGGACAACTTGAGAGAACCAGAAGAATCACGATGCACTGTTTTGCTTCACTCGCCCACACTCATGCACGTTCACGAACACTTAATGGTTATTGATCCACCATTATTACACATTAAGGCTGGGTTGCACCATCTCACTTTAACTTTGACAAACGTCAAAGATCTGTCTAACTCCATACAAAAAACACCGGTTATCGTTATGGTTACGGTCAAAGTTAGGTGGTGCAACCCAGCATTAAAACTTCAAACCCATGGTAAAAGTTTCAAAATATATTGAAAAATTTGTAAACTTTTTACGTCTAAAGCCCGGTCTCTGAGCACGTAGAATTTTGTCCAATGACCCCAAGCTACCCATTCTTATCGCTCGCGCGTAATTATATTGCTGTCGCGCTCGCACACTCACTGCGGGCGCCCGTCGCACAGTCGCGCTCGCGACAGCAATATAATTACACGCGAGCGATAAGGATAGGTAGCTTGGGGTCATTGGACAAAATTTTAAGTGCTCGGAGACGGGACTGTATCAGGCACTTACTTGGCAGATATGACGAGCCTGTCCCAATGGCTTTTCAGGTCATCGTCTTCCGGTTGTTCCGCGATGTAGAGACCGTCGAACTCTAGTTTACGTGCGATCTCTTTTTCACGTTTGAAGATGGCTAGAGGCACCTGGAAGTCAACATGTTGATTTATACAGGGTGTTAGGTAAATGGGTATATGAGCCGACACTAGTCCATGTTAACATGGTCATATAAATGGTATAGTGAAGTCAGAAAATTGATATCTTCATTTTAATTATTTGAATTTTCATACAAACCGGATTTTATAAAATTTATTTTGTATGAAAATTTAAAAAAATAAAATGATGATATCAAATTTCTGACTTTACCATACCATTTATATGCCCATGTTAACATGGGCTAGTGTCGGCTCATATACCCATTTACCTAACATCCTGTAGATAAACTAGCTTTTGCCCGCGGCTTCGCCCGCGTGAAATTTCGTTTGTCACAGATCTTCATAAATTATAGCCTATATGCTCATCAAAATTCGTTCAGTAGTTTTTGCGTGAAAGAGTAACAAACATCCAGACATCCAGACTTTCGCATTTATAATATTATAGATAGATATAGATAAATAGATATACAACGGTATTTCATAATTACAAATCTTTAATGGGTGACTATGGTCCGGTTTCTGACTTGAGATCTTAAGTTTGAGCGTGCTCATCTTCTACTTGAGTATGAACATTGGAAACTTGCTCAAGCTAAAAATATCAGTTCAGAAATTTTCTCACTAATATCGCATTAAAGTTGACACAAGATTAATCCGCAACGAATTGAATCAGAAAAATATAGGAGTTTTGAAAATATGATTTCGACATCCGTTGCGCTGCGGGATACAGATAATTTTAAGAAATGAAGGGTTTACTCTTCTACGCATTGAACGAATCCAGAAACGACTTGTCAGACACTTGGTATTCTCGCATTTTAGAGACAAAAGAAGGTACTCGTATAATGAGATCTTAACTGACTTGGAAATAAAAAGCCTAGAACGTCGTAGAGACCTACTTGATCTTTCTTTCTTTTACAAAATTATGAGACATCATGTGCGTAGTCGAACCTTGCTAGCGAAGTTTAACTTCAAAGTCCCATTACGAATACCACGTAAACCCATTGAACCTCTCTCCCGCCCCTTTTGAAAAACTGTTCTAGGAGCCAACTCTCCTATATGTCGGATCTGCAAGATCTACAATAAATGTAGTGGTCCCCTGGATGTGCATTTCATGTCCCTACCCAAATTCAAGGCTACAGCAACCGACTCTATATCATAATAATTTAACTCTATATCATAATATATAACATCATTTATGCTAACTAAGCAGCAACTTATATTTCTTGCAAGCTGTGTATACCTCTAAGTGATAGTGCAATTAGCTTAATATTTTGCGTATTTTTTAACATATTTTGTATTGTTGTACCTATCGTTGGTGTACCTAATAAATAAATAAATAAATAAGAATGTGATCTCACCTTAAGATGGTAGTACCCGATAAGTATGGCCAGAGACACGATAGAGTGCAGCACGGCGGCCATATTGATGACGTGCACCATGTAGAAGAAGTCTTCGTCTATGTGCACCACTTCCAATGCATCTTCGTCCTCGCCCGATTCGCCGCTGCCTCCTGTAAAAATGAAGGTAGATTTTTACACATGGTTAAGGCACGGTAATATTATCATACAGTATTGTAACTTCATATAAACGGACGAAATGCGAGCTTTCGTTCGCAATTCAAATCTCGGTATGCGCTCGACATGCAAAAGTCGGGGGTGTCGCGAATGTGCCACAGTAATAAACGGACGATGTGTTGTTTTTTAAGCGCTCTTTTTTTAATAAAAATAATTACAAGTACCTATTTATACAGGGTGTTAGGTAAATGAGTTTATAAGCCGACACTAGCCCATGTTAACATATGCATATAAATGGTATGGTGAAGTCAGTGATATCATCTTTTTTTTTTTTAATTTTCATACATAAATAAAATTTATAAAATCAGATTTGTATGAAAATTTAAATTATTAAAATGATGATATCAATGTTCTGACTTCACCATACCATTTATAAGCACATGTTAACATGGGCTAGTGTCGACTTATAAACCCATTTACCTAACAACACCCTGTATAATAATGAAGCATTTTGTACGCCTCAGTCGAGGCGCATACATTTTACGGTCGCAAATTTATAAGATTTGTTACTAAATCTTAATACAAATATATTTTTTAATTAAATGTACTAATTACAAAACAACATGCATTTTTATCCTATTTACTTCGTGAATGAAATTTTCATTCACGAAGTATTTTGTTTGTCAAAATAAAATTAAAAATGACCATCACAAAATACATTCACAAAACTAGATAGAAATTCTAAGTAGGCAGATGTAATGAAAAAAGGGTCTGCAGGTGGACAACCCTATCGTATGTTGTCATATCGTGACGTACCGCGCGGCTGTTGACATTTATTTCAAAAATATGGCCGAGTTAGAATACTGTATAGATAGTATTACCGTGGTTAAGGTTTAACCACCCCGAATATTAGAGACTTTTTGTCGGCCGATAGTTGGGTCAGGCTATTAATCAATATGAAAATGTATGGAAGTACGCTCATTACACCGATTTGGTATCAGCCGATTCTTCATACAAATTAGAATCGGGCAAATATCAGCCAACTAAAAGTCGGTGGTCTGCGCCTAGGCTTAAATAATATTTATTTCTCAAAAGTCAAGTATTTTATTTATAAACTAATAACAACGTTGACTTAGAAACATTTATTTACTTACCAATGACAGGTCGCGCGATCCAAGATAGTTCGCGCCACCCATGATAGTTCGCGCGACCCAAGATAGTTCGCGCGACCCATGATAGTTCGCGCGACCCAAGATAGTTCACGCGACCCAAGATAGTTCGCGCGACCTGTCATTGGCCTATGATCGCGCCGGCAATGGCGATCAGCACGCGTTGGTGTGGTTGAAACTTCAGGTGATAACATTTCTACCAGTTAGACTTGAGGTAATGCCAGGCCTGGCTCACTCCGCGCGGTACATCCGATAATTACCTACAGCGAAGCGCCCCGCCGGCGGGTATTATATCAGTCGAGTGTCACGCGCGCGCCCGTCAGGACGCTGGCGTGCGTTGTAGTACCTAATTCTATGATCGAAGTA